CCCCACACCCACCCACACTCACACCCACACCCACACCTACACCCACACCCTCACCCACACCTACACCCACCCACACCCACCCACGCCCACACCCACCCACGCCCACACCCACACCCACACCCTCACCCCCACACCCACACCCTAATGACGTCTCATCACAACTACCAATGGCTTTACAATCTTATTACCGACGATAAAAAGTGGGTGTTGTATATTAACAACACGCGCTAGCGGCAATGACTGGGAGCTGGGCAAAAAGGTTTAGCAACACCCAAAGATGACCTTAACCAAAACAAGATTATGCTGAGCATTTGGTGGGGAGTAAGAGGGATTATTCATTGTAAACTTTTTCCAACTAATTGCACCATCACTGCTGATCTCTACTGCCAGCAATTGGATCGCGTTGTAAAAAATTCAAAGGAAAACAAGATCGATTTTACTTTTTACACGATAATGCCAGACCTCATGTAGCAAGGTTGACACGCCAAAAGTTATTGGAGCTTGGATGAATCACTGTTCCCCATCCACCTTATTCTCCAGACTTGGCTCCTACGGACTACCAGTTGTTCCGTTCTCTTTCTAATCATTTGAACGAGAAAAGTTCGACGACGAAAACGATGTCAAGATGGACATTGCCAACTTCTTTGCCCAAAAGTCACAGGATTTCTACGAACGTGGGATTTTTTTCTCTACTAGAGCATTGGCGACAAGTTATAGATAGCAATGAAGCATACATTGTTGAAAGCTAGTTGTATTCTTGATATTAAAAAATAAAATTTTCAAAAAAAAAACGACAAAAATTTCTTGCCAACCCAATATATATATATATATGAAATTCTATGATGTTTGGTTAATTACATAAATAGTTCAATCGATTATTTTGAAAATTTAATAAAATAATATTTTAAATATTTTTTTTTTAATTTTTTTTTAATGTTATTTCGATTGAAAATTAGACGAATTTTTAGTTAATCATAAGTTGACCTAACTGTTAATAAAATGAATTCATGTAGAATTAAGTATATGAGTTCTTTTCTGTAAAATAATAATTATCATTTAATACGAAAAAAAAAACAAACGAAAATTTTCTCTCTTTACAAAAATGTTAGGTGAAAACAGCAAATTTGAAGTAGAAAAATACATAAAAGTATAAAAATAATAAATAGTACTTGGCAGTAGTTCCAAGTATGTGAAAATATCTCAGAATATTTAGCAATACTTTAAATTGTGTCAAAATATTTTAAAATAAAAGTGTTGAAATATTTTAAAGTATTTTCAAAGATTTGAAAGTACATGAAATAAAATAATAATCATCATGAGCAAAGATATATGATTAGTTTATATTCTTTTGAAAAGAGAAAAATTATTAATTAAAGATATACAAACAAGAATAGATTTGATTAATTATTGTCAGATATTTGTTACATCATACGTGATAAACAATCACTTAATAATTTAATTATTTTATTCAATAGGAGTCAAAATATTGAAGAAAAAATTCTATACAAAAAAAAATTGAAAATAGTTTCAGAAATAGAAAAGAATTAGAAAACTTTTTTAGGTTGGTATAAACAAGATTTTGAATAAAATCTGTTTTTGGTTTATTCCAGAAAGGTTTCATAGCTCAACTTTTTCCTTTCACATTCTATAGAAAAACCTTCAATAATCACTTATAACTATACCTCACTTCTTTATGATTCCTTAATCTTTAACTTCTTCTATCTATATCTATATTCAAATTCTTATATCCATATCTAAGTTTTTGGTTATTATGAAATCTCTTGATATTATCTAAATGTAATATTTTCTTACAATGAAAAAGTTGGCAAATTTTAGTTAAGAACATAGACCATGTTTGGATCAAATGAAATCTCTCACTACTAAACTAACAAATTTAAAATATTATGTGTCTATAGTGTATCTAGAAAAAGTTATTTAAATTTCAAAATATGTGAAATTTAGATATAAAAATGAATGAGAAAAGATTTTCTTCATTATTCTAAAAATAAACATTTTATTTTTCGAACCCCAATAAAGAGATTATCAAAGGTTCTTTTTCATATGATGCGAACAATTCCAAATTTGATTCTTACAAAAGAGTATGATTCTTTCAATTGATCAAATTGTAACAAGAATTTTTTTCCTATTGTCAGAACAAAACGTAGCGTTGTTCGAGTCATATCAAAGAGAAGGTTTCATAACCCGTATATTGAGAAGAGAATAACTTCATGTTTTGCTCTTACAATAATCAAAATCCGGCAATCATGTTCTACCATATGACTTGAACAATTCTATGTTTTGTTCTTACAATAAGGAAAAATCCCTGTTAGAATCTAATCAGTTGAAAATAAGTCTTTTACGATAAGAGTGATATATAGGATTGTTTACATCGTATGAAAAAGAACTTTATACCTCAATTTGACATATCTTGAAGTTAAAATAATCTTCCTTTAAGTATACTTTAAGCACGCAATATCTTAAAATTGTTAGTTTGGTGCTAAAAGCTTTCATTTGATTCGAATATGATCTAATCTGCTTGCTTATGCATAAAACACTGTATCTATTTCCATATCATCTTTGATTTGCCTGAACTTGAAATTGATCTTTATCAGATCCATCTATTTATCTTTGAATCATGATATAGTGTACTTGTTCTTAATAATGACAGAAACAAATTATCTCATCTTCTTCGACTTGACGTACGATCATTTCATATTCAATCGAGAATATTTTTATATTTGCATAATTATTGGATTCTCCTTATTCAAACTGTATATCAACAAACTTTTTTTCTTAATTGTTTTGACTTAGAAATCAATAATCCACAGTAACAAACTACTTCCATCGTTGTTAGATAAACTGTCCTTAATAAGGATAGCCAACTAATTTTTAGTCTCTAATAAAACGATGTTCTAACAAACAAAATATAAACAAAAAAATTTACTTTTACAGAAAAAACTATTTCTATTCAAATTTTCAATGAAAAATAAAGAAGAGATCTTTGAAGTATTTTTTGTAAATCGTGTCGAGCTCCAATCAGAATCCAAAGATTTTTGATGAATGAATTTTCATCCATTAATATAGAGAAATTGAAAAGATATATGACATTGCTAGAAAAAAACTTGTCCTTAATTACACTGTTGAACTATATTTTGTCTCTAATAATGGCGATAATTTTGTTTGTTCTTGATAAGGATAACATGTTAACTTTTGATCTCAATAAAGGTAACTCATGTCAAATAGATATATTTCTTATAAATGAAGTCTTTTCTACCATTTTTCTAATGAAGTATCGTTTATTATGATCAAAAGTTACTCTACCATTCTAATGAGACGCACAAAAAGAAAAAACTTTCTAAGGACTATTTTGAATAAGCAAAAGATTTTTATTTAATCAGATCTGTTCTAATTGACTTTGATTAAATTCTTATAAATATTTAATTAAAATAATCTATGAACAAATTCTCAATAAGAATGAAATATTTACATTTTTTTGATTATCCTATTTATTCATTGATAAAAATAAAATTAATAAGATTTGATTTATGAAAAGTTTTGTTTGTTTTTTTAATATTATATAAATTAATTTGAAAAAAAGATAAGATTTATTATCATATTTGTATAAAAAGAATAGGGTTTTTTTTTCTGATTAATTGACAAATAATAATCATTTTAAAAAAATTTGTATATGTAATTCTTTTCAAAGATTCATTTTCAATAAAACGATAATTTTTATTTAGATATTAATAAAATAGAAAAATTATCAAATAGTCAAGATGACAATAAATCTTTTTCTAATTGATCAAAATAATCAATATCTAATTGTGAATTTTCCACTTGACATAAACAATATTTTCTTTGTATACATTGATCAATATAAGAATGTAACATATCACATTTTAAAGTTGAACGATATGCTTCAGTTTCCAAAAATGTTATTATTTTTAATAGAATTAATTGTTTATTTTCATACTTGTCATATATTTCTTCATAAATAACGTTAATACCAGAATATGAACCATTCTTTACTTGTAATGAAATTGCTTTTGGATATATTTCTGGAATTATTTCTAAAAGAATCATTTTCATGAATGAGATGCAATCATCAATTGGCAAACATTGAATATTATCATATCTTTTGTTTATTAATTCATTGAGGATAAATTTTGACGCAGTTGATAATGTTCCACGATATTGTCCAGAAAAACCAATTTCAACTGAACTTTCCCAATCGATTAATAATATATCAGTACTATTCATTTATAAAAATAGAAAGATAAATAAGAATTATTAAAAATTTATGTCTTTCAATATGAAAATATTTCTTATTCATTTTTCATATTTTGTTTCTGATGATCAATTAAATCAAACGAAGATTTTTCATAAAAGTAACAAACACCAATATTTTATTTTTTCATTACACATATGGTTTTTTATAGCAATTAAAATAATCTGTTATTTAAGGTTGAGTAAAAATATTTAATACAATTTGAAATTTTAAGATTCCATATCAGGAACAATTTATTGGAGAAATCGAAATAGTGTTTTCAATAATTGTCACATTAGAACGAACGTATTCAAAGGGGAATTGGGGAATCAATCTCTCCTGAAAAAAACAAGAAGAAAGTACGGATCCATCAAATTTTGTGAGTTGAAAACAAGTTCCTTTCAATGATGATCTGTCTATATTCTTCTTAAGAAAATTTTTGAGTACGTGTGTTTAATGAATGTTAGAGACTTTCAACAGAATGTTGTGACCCTCTTAGGAATCTCAAAAAAACTTATTTTTTTCAATTTCAATTTGAAAATTTGCACTGAAAGAGATTTTACAAAGAATAATATATGATGAAACTTTCAGATTTTTGTTTTGTTGTGTCTATTCTAAAAAGCCGACTATGCTAAAAGCGTATCTTTTATATCGATCATAGTCGATGCTCATATTTTAAGATAGGAACAATAAATTAAAAAATCTGAAAATTTCATCATCAATTATTCTTGGTTAATGAATACTTATTATTTCAAATAAAGAAGACAACTGAAAATAATCTTATAATAAGCATTTACATATACAAAATACTTTTGTCTAGTCCCAGTAATGTCAATATTAAAGAAAAATCTTACTATTATTTTGTTTACCTTGCATTTTGATGATTCCATATTTCTATAATATTAGATTTTCGAATATCACGATGTAAGATTTTATATCGATGTGCTTGTTTAATTTGTGTCCATACGGTATCAATACGATTTAATAAATTTTCTTTCGATATCATTTTACCAGGTGCATGAAGAAATAAGAAAATATATTCAGAAACTTTTTCAATTTTGTATTTATCACCATACAATTTTTTATAAATAAATACTTCTCTATCAACTGATTTGTTACTTATTTTTAAAGTATATTCATTGTTTTTATCATCTGGATTAGTTAAACAATTAAATACGAGTGAATTAGCACCAATTCCTAAGAGTTGATTATGAATAAGAATACCTTTAGGAAATAGTTCTAATCGTTTAAAACCGAGTTGTGATGAATCTATTGTAAAAAATGTTGTTAAATAATTTAATAAATATTTCTCTTTATCTTCAGTGACACATATTGATGCTTCATATAAAAACTCATAATCATTATTTGTTCTTGAAACTTTTCCAAATCTAATGTCTTGAAAATCGGTTATTGCACCTATTATAAATTTACGACATGATGGAGAATAATCCAAAACTATTTGTAGATAATGTATAAGTTGACCAATATCATCAGTTTTCATTTTTTTCTTTATTTCAAGAATCGACACTATATGACATGGTAAGAATTCTAAATCAAGACCACTTTCTTTTGATTTAAGATTTGAATTATAATTGTCAATTAAACAAAAATCAGGAATTAAACGTTCAAATAAATGTTTGAATACAGTACCATGAAAATTATCACAATATTTTAATTTATCATTGGTTAATCCATAATATACTTTCATACAATCTATATAAAAGCTTAATTGACATGTTTTTTCATCTATATTTTCAGGTTTTAATTTTAACCAATTTTCAATATATTTATATAATTGTTTATAATTTGACATCAACATTTATTTTATTTTCAAATAAAGCTACTACTTTTTTTGATATTATATTTTGATTAAAGAAATTATGGCTTTTACTCGATGAACGACTTTCCGTCATGATCATAAATCGAAATAATTTTATATGGATCTTGTTTAAAACTAAAGGATAAAATAATTATCTTTTAATAATAAAAAATAGTTTTCTACTTGGTAAAATAATCTAATATAGATAACAATTGAATTATAATTGTATAAGACAAAAAAAAATAAACAAATTCATTTGTCTCCCTAAATACATTTTGACAATAAATCGTATTTAAAGAAAAATCTTTTTTTGTTGTGCAATTAATCTATATTGTTACAATTTCAAAATATAAATTTAATTTAAAAAAGTGTTTTTTAAATAATCATATTTATTGAAATAATCGATTTTGAAAGAATAATAAGATTTTTATGAATTTTTTCAATGTGATAACTTCAAAGTATTATGTTTAATCAAGATTATTTGACAAATATGAAACAAATATATCGATTTGATTTAACTACAAACAAAACTAAGCATATTGAAAAGTATTTTTGACTTATGTAAAATTTTATTCTCTAAAATAAAAGGAAATTGTTTGCGATTATTGTTATATGAATATGTTGAGAAAATCTCGTATAAAGCTCAAAATTTTATTATAATCTTTTAACTATAGTTGAACACATTGAAATAAATGTCATATTATTCAATTTTTTCTTGATTCAAAATCGAATTTTTAACTAAAAAAGACGATCGAATAAATTTTGTCTTCTTTTGTGTAATAAAATACATATGAAATATTTCATATTTATTATAATACTATATAAAAATGTCTATGAATCTAATAGACAAATTATAATCAACCAGATAATTAATATCGTAATACAAATGAATAAGACAAGAATAAATATATAATCTAAATTTTCTGTTTAGTTCTTAGTTTTTATTATAATAACTAGAAGGAAAATAATGTTACTCTAGATAACTAAAACCGTATATTTATATAGAGTGACTAAGAGATTCTTCGAGCTGCGACTTGTGAAAAACGACATTCGAACCATCCTTCTACGCCATATATATTCAAAGTAATTGTTGTGTTCTTCCATAATAAATTTCATTCTTTTAAATTACTCTTTAGAAAATCTTTCTAAGTAAACAATAGATATTCAGTGAATTTTCTACATTGTTGTTTAAATTTCTATAGCTTTCTGAGCATTTAAAATCAGGAGCTACAACTATGAAACAAAAATAATAAATAGGTGCATCGAAATTTAGGGATCTTTTTAATTAACTTTTCTAAAATGAAAATAAAAGGCTTTTCTGTTTTTTTTTCTATCGTTCTTTTGTCTATAATATCTATGAAGGAAAGATATATGAAGTAGATTCAATTTTCTTCTAATTGATTATAAATAGGAAAAAAAAAAGAAATAAGTTTCAACTACATCGATGATCTCGTATTTTCAAACAGTATTAGATTTACAATATTAATTTAAGATGTACTTAAATATTTTTTAATTCATTAAAATTTGTAGAGTTTGACAAGAACAATGTTTTCGACATCATAATCATACATAAATATAATTGAAGTTGTTTTCAAAATTAGTCTTTACTGATTCTAGATAAATTAGTTGAATTTCCTAAATTATATTACATATAGCAACATCTTACAAAACTAATAAATGATTTCATTAATATAATCATAGAAAATTTATTAAAAACACATTTCGAGAAAAGAAAAATATTTTCTCAAAATAACTCTCTTGAAAAGTTTTCTTTTTTTTTTGTTTATTATTACAAAATAAAAAACAAAAAAATTATGAGTCTTAATATACAAAATCTCAATTTTTTCTACTAAAAAGCATCTCTTATTTCTCTATAAATCATAAAAAAATTATGTGAACACTTCAAATTAGACAAATCTTAACAAAAGAAAATCATTTATATTATATACTGATAATTCAACTAAATAAATTCCATTTGAAAAAAAAATTAATTACACTTACTTGATATTGAATATGTTTATGTGTTCTATTGTAAAAGAAAAAATTCCGAAGAGAATTTTCAAATTAGAAAATGACCTTTAACAAAAATTATAAAATCTACATAAAAACGAAATAATCCATTTCCAATATATTGTTTTTCATGGAAATGCAGAAGAATAAATAAACTATCAATATATATCTAAAGACAGAGACAGAAGAGAAAAAAATAATCATTGGCACATAAATACACCGCTATTGATTGATTGAAGACTGCCTAGAATAGATGTCGTGTAAGAACGAACAAATTTTATTATGAATAAAGTATATATAAACTCTTGATTAGGATAAAAGGAAGTAGGAAAAAAACAGACATTTAAAACCTTTGTGACCAAACTTTTATCCTCACAGAAATTCTTGTAAATGAAAATAAAGTACAGATGAACAAAATTCACTTTTACATTTAATATTTCTTTGGCTTTTATCTCTGTATGTTCAAAGTTTTGATTATGTACACCATTATTGGAATAGAGCAAAATTTTAATAATGATTTTAATTTGATTGAAGAAGTTTTAACCAATGAGTATTTAAAAATATTTCTGATGAGTCTCTAGAAATCACTGTACGAGAATCACGCATGAATGTGCTGAATCATAGTGTCAGATTTGCTTAATACATATCCCATTTTGTGGAGGAAACTGTTTAGGTATAGAGTCATAATTTTAAAGGTAACGAATGAAATTCAGCTGACTTATATTGATTCAAACGAAAAGTATTCAAAATAGCTTTTTATCAATTAAAGTCATTTTTTGTCAATTATTCATTTAAAATGCATTTATAATATTTTTTCATCATTACCTGATAGAATTCTGATATTTTTACCAGTACACATATTGAGATGAGCAACACAACTACCACGTCCAATCTTGGCTATCTTGGGAAAAAAATATTCACTATGATTATCAATGTGGTTCTACTCTTCTGATATGTTAGATCCAAAAATAGCCTATCTTCGGGATAGACTTTTTGTAGATCACTGTGATAGAATTTGCGCAATGCTTTTGTCAAAGACTACTATTTTAGTGCTACTTGACCATGGCAATCAAAAGTTTGATACGTTGAAGTTTGATTCCAGAAGCCTTATTATAAAATAGGAGTAGTTTACTATAGTATAGGAATATAGAGGAGCTCCAAGTGGTTTTAGTACGATTAGAAAAGGGTGTGAGGTGGATGTGGGTGTGGGTGTGGGTGTGGGTGTCGGTGGGTGGGGTGTGGGTGGGTGTGGGTGTGGGTGTGGGTGTGGGTGTGGGTGGCTGTGGGTGTGGGTGTGGGTGTGGGTGGGTGTGGGTGTCAGCTAAACTATATTCCCGAGGCACACAAACACCCACACCCACACACCCACGCCCACATCCACACCCACACCTGCACCATCAATTACACCCACACCCACAGCCGCACCCACAATTACACCCACACCCATTTCTAATCGTACTAAAACCAACACCCACTCACACACACCCACACCCACACCCACCCACACCCACACACCAACACCCACCCACACCCACACCTTACGAAAATCCAACACTTCAGCAAAGTATTGCTAACAATGAAAACGATACAACTCTCTGGTTGAATGACTTAGATTTGACCAATCAGAATATGGAGATTGTGGCCAAAGAATTAAAAACTAACCACATATGAGATCATTGTTTCCTTTTTTTTACCATTTAGACACTTTCGATCTCATAAAATCTACGTATTTCACAGAACAACATCATCAGTTTCAACAGCCGTTATTCTTTTCTGAGAAAATAGGTCTACATAAGATCATCTAGGAGTAGCTCATCACCAAACTTATTGACAATAAGAAATATTTTCAAAATTTCTGTATGTTGAGGATGTGTATGTATGTGTGATTGAATGGATAATGGCAGTCCCCTAGATTGTATTTGTATTCTCACTCAGGAGTCTTTGCTTGGAAGGAAATCAAATCGGAGGTAATAGACCACAATATTTAGGTGACACATTAAAAGTGGACTCATTAAACAACTACTCTCTCTTCTCAGTCTATTTCAGATGTTCTCTTTTCCATTGCCATTTACTTAAACTTGTTGATAATCAATATTCTCATCCTCAATGACTATAGAAAGATTTTTTGAGTTTAGTTTTCAAGTTCTGAAATCATCGTTATTGAATGATTGTCAGGAGTCGACTGTTTAAAAAGAATCCAAAGAAAGATGCATTGGATGTTCCCATGAGGTATTGTGAAGTTTACTTCGGATTATATATCAAAGTTATAATAAGATCAAATTTTAATTTCGAGCAAACGTCGTATTTCATGATCGTTCATTAGTATTAAATGAGAAGTTGAGAGTAAATATCCTAAGAGTAAGAGAATTCACAGTAAAAGAAATTAGTGAACGATTCATTCCATGATATTCTAAAATTAGAATTTGCAATTTTCCGTTTAGTGTAAAAATCTTATAAATTTTTTCTTGAATAATTTTGCACTATGACAAAATTTTCAATCTTTTATCTAAGAAGAAATTCAATTTATGTTGCATAGTATTCAATTCACATTGGAGCACTTAAATAAATTATTTGTGTGTTAAATAGACGAACTACTTTAGGTTTTCAATGAAAAGATCTTATGAAAGAATTGATTTCAGAACTAGAAATTCTGCTCTTCAGTTAGAATCTAGTATTTTTAGTTGTCACCGTTTTTTTTCTTACATTTTCATATTTTTTTGTTTGCTCATAACAAAACAGAAAAACTGAATCTACATTGATCGTTTTGGAGGTTCAAGGTCCATATATTTTATATATTTCCATCATGTAGAAACATTTAAATCATCAGCAAGATCTTTTATTAGACAAATAACTGTTTGGTGAACTGAATTTTAAACATTAGAATTCTACAGAGCTTCATATCACTATGATATTTTCTATTAGGCAATCCAGATTTACAATTTTGTACTTCAGAGTGATAGAAAAATAGAATCAGATCGTAGAAGTTGGAC